CTTGTAAGTACTTGTCCTTACTTGCTAAGTACTTTCAGAAAGTACTTCGATCATTGACAAATACTTAGCAAGTAATCAAGTACTTGCATCAAGTACGTTCTCTAGGGCTTTGTTTTGATTTTCTTCCTGCAGTGTAGGTCGTATTTTTGTGATTCATCTAGAAACCCAAGCGTCAAAACAAAATCTAATATCGCCCGATTCATCGAGATTACTAGATTTTTACTCGATCGCAACTACTGTGTAACGACAATGGAAATCTAGTAATTGGGCGATTACTAGATTTTTTCTAGTTACAACTGTCGATTTAACTATTACTAGATGCATCTGCAAACGCATCTAGTTAAAAGCCCCTTTTCCAACTAGTAATCTAGATTGAATCGACTAACTCTAAATGTTTATTTTCACTGTAGTATTTGCAGTTGGAAAGACTTATGTATTATTAGTAGTTGCACGTGGAATTCAAGGAATAGCTTCAGCCTGCATTGAAGTTTCCGGTAAATTTAAGATTTTTCATCAGTTATTACTTTGAGTTCAGATATCGGTTAGTTCTGCAGGGTATGATATGTTGGCTGAACGATATCCAGATGACAATGATCGTGGGCGAGTTATGGGACTGGCATCATGTGGAATTACATTGGGTCTTCTTGGTATAGTTGGATGAGTAATTTATATGATGGTTTTTTCGAATGTGGTTTTTGTTTGTTAGTGGGTCCATGGTTTTCTGGTGTAATGTACGATTTTGTGGGCATTGGGTGGATGTTTTCTATTACAACAGGATTCATTGCCATCGTTGGATGTAAATAGAATGATCATGATGTTATTGTTCCAGAAATGATTTTGAATAGTATTGTTTTAGTATTACAATTGACAATAATTACTCCAAAACTGATCTCTAAAAATAACGGTGAAGAAGGTCCATCGATAATAAAACTCTTAGCTGATCCTTACGTAATGGTTGCAGCAGGTACACTTACTACAGTTAATTTTTTCTTGTATTATCTGTTCATTATCAAAAGGTGCATTAACGGTAATGACTTTCGGACTAGCAACAGTGGAAGCAGTATTGCCTATATGGATGGCTACAACAATGAATTCAACATCATGGATGCAAGGTAAAAGAATTTAAAATATAAAATTTCTTACTGCTAGCCTATTTGTACTCATATAAGAAAACGCGGTGTTTTTCAAAGACGTATAGTGAGAAAACTGTTTTTCTCGTTCCTATCTAGTAATAGTTTTTCGTGTTTTCGGATACATCTGAAGTATTTTCTGATACATAGACTATTATTCTCGATGTAGAGAGGACTCACTAACACTATTTAGTATCTGTGGGAAAACTCAACATCAAATATTATTAGATTCAGAAGTTAGTGGTGGCAAATTTCGAAACGTTTAAATCCTCCGCCAAGTGACGATCATAACTGTGTACAACTACCCTTGATAAACCTCAGCAATCCCAACGCGTGCAATATTACTACTTAACTCACTCTCGCCAGACACTTCCCTTCCCTCCTCCACAACCGCTCATCAAGAATAAGTAATATCTGAGTTATATTACAGTCTGACTTTCACACCTACGAAGAAAACATGAGATTATGTATTTCTCTGCTGGTTAGAGGTGATGAACCATTTTAGACAATGTTCAACATATTCATCCTCACCTACATATAAATATACAATACAAGAGTTTATCTAATTGTCTGCTTCTCAGCTAGTTAGAAGTGATGCACCATATATAGAGGATATTCAAAAATAAATATTCAGTACTGGAAAAAATTATATAGCCACTGTACTTTTGAAATTTTTCGATGACGCTGGGTGGCTAGGTTAAATCTGAGTAGTGATTTGGATAGTCTCTGAAGTGCTCTATTAAATGCAGTATGCGCGAAAATTTCACAAAAAAGGCTTTGAAGAAAGTTTTCTAGAAAACCTCCGCCAGGAGACCTCTAAGTCCTAAAGAATTTTTCTAAAAATATTTTCAATATAGCCATATAAAAGAGCATCAAATTCTAAAAAAAATGAAGCGTCGCACAGCTCTACGATCTTTCATTGCAAAGTTACAGGCATCAGAAAATCCAGAGAAATGCATTTTAGGCGATTTGTAGCGAGTTTTTCGTAAATTTTACTATTTCTTTGGATTTTCTGATGCCTGTAAGTTTGCAACGAAAGATTGTGGAGAGCTGTGCGACGCTTCACTTTTTTAAGAATTGTATGCTCTTTTATATGGCTGTATTGAAAATACTTTTAGAAAAATTCTCTAGAACTTAGGGATCCGCTGGAGGAGGTTTTCTAGAAAACTTTCTTCAAAACCTTTTTTCTAGGATTTTGGCGCATACTGCATTTGATAGAGCATTTTAAAGGCTATCCAAATCACTATGCAGATTTGACCAAGCCACTCACGAGGGAGCCTCTCGAGGTGATTAAAAGCTTTTCGACTCGGACTATTTTCATCATGTAGCGAATAGTCAGCAGTGAAAAACCCCAAGTTAGTTTGGGCCCATGCGCCTTTTTGACAGACATATGAGTTAATTAATGAAAATGCCATTAATAATAATTAATTAATAGCTCACGACCATGATCAGCTAGGAGTCGAAAATTTATACTACAGTTGAAGATAGGTGTTGTCTACTCACTGCGACAATTTTAGGCTTATAAACCAAAGCTTTTGCAAAATATGAATTTTTTACGATTTAGACAGCTTTTAGTGAAAATTCACCATTGAAAACCTAAAACCTTGTTACCAACTTTAAATACCTCTGTTCACGCTGCAGAAGGTCAGCGGCTCTTAGCGACCTATATCTAAATGAAATAAGTCTTTCCTGAGTCGATAGAGGTATCTAAAAGTGATAACAGGTTTTTAGGTTTTCAATGGTAGATTTTCACTAAAAACTGTCTAAATCATAAAAAATTCATATCTTGCAAAAGCTTTGGTTTATAAGCCTAAAAGTGTCGCAGTGAGTAGACAACACCTATCTTCAACTGTAGTGTAAATTTTCGACTCCTAGCTGATCATGGTCGTGAGCTATTAATTAATTATTATTAATGGCATTTTCATTAATTAACTCATATCTCCGTCAAAAAGGCGCATGGGCCCAAACCAACTTGGGGTTTTTCACTACTGACTATTCCCTACATGATGAAAATAGTCCGAGTCGAAAAGCTTTTAATCACCGCGAGAGGTTTCCTCGTCAGCTTCATCGAAAATTCCAAAAATACAGTGGCTCTATAATGTTTTCCAGTATTGTACAATGCAGCAGGTTATTTGATTATCTGCTTCTCTGCTGTATGAGAATTACCATGCATAAAAAATATTTAATTTTGGCTATTCAACATATAAGAGTATCTGATTGTATACTTTTCTGCTGTATGAGAAAGACATCCCATACAAGAAATATTCAAATAGTGGAAAAAATCTAAATATGTAACATATTTAGATTTGAGATCTATTGTCTGCCGAAGTTCTTTTACTATTTTGTTCCTTGAAATTCTTCATCAAGATCTTGATACAGGGTTTTCAAGCAGGCATGGGCGAGTCCGGGAGGGACCGAGTCCGAACCGAGTCCCTAACATTAAGGAACGAGTCCGAGTCCGAGTCCATTTCGAGTCCGGTAATCTTTTAGATTCTTTTTTGATGATTGTGGTTCATTTCTTTTTTTTTCTGTGCCATTTAATATATCAATCTTGTTGAAACAGAAAAAGTTACT